GGGCAGCAGGCGGGGCGGGGCGGGGCAGCAGGCAGGACGGGGCGGGGCAGCAGCGGGAAAGAAGAAGAAGAAGAAGAAGCCGCGACAGCAAGGGGGGAAAGGGGAAGGGCGGGGCAGCAGGGCGGGGAAGACAGGCAGGGCGAAGACAGCGCAAGACAAACAGTAGCGGGGCTAGCAGCATTGCAGGAAATGGCAGCCCAGTAGGTCCTGCAGCGGCATGAGGTCAGGCGGGGCATTAGGCGGGCGGGGCGGCACAGCAGAGAACAATGGCGAAAAGGCACAGAACAGAGAAACAGAGAGGACAAAAGATTGCATGCGCAAGCAAGGCAGTGAAGGGAGGGCAAAAAAGGGGGGCTTGGGGGAAAGGCGGGCGAGGGAAGGGTGTAGGGCTTGGCGGAACAGGGGACGAGTTTCAGCTTTCGATGGCTCAAGAGAGGCTTGAGCTGGTTCAAAATTCATGCTGATTTTATGTCCAGCATGCGCTGAACCAAGGGGGTAGACAACGCCCATCTACAATGCTACAACGATTCCTAGTCAAAATTATCACAGACGATGCTCGGCTTGCTTGGCCGGTTTAGTGCTGGGATAATCCTCATGAGCCGGGCTATTGGTTCTTGAAATAGGGTGTTGAACTTGAAGAACTTGAAGGAGGGGATGTTGTTGCAAGGTTGTTGCGCTCCAGGCCGCCTGCTTGCGGCCAGCGGTGTGACGCATGCTTATCTGACTTGTGCGGCGCCCGAGGATGTAAGGAGGAAAGGTTCGCGCCAAAACCGGCCAAACAAGTCAAGCATTATCTGTATCGCTTAAACTTATTAGAGATCAAAGGGCTGTACCAGTTTTCCTACGATAGACTCCCTTTGACAACTATCTTGACAGATCAGCAAAGGGGATAATTTTCGCCTCGAACAAACCCTTGGTTCAGCGCATGCTGGACAGTAACCGCATTATGAGTCAATTGGTAATAACATAGTATTTCTCAGGGTTTATACTGCCCTGGGACGTGAGCCGCTGCTGGCGTCGTACTAGTTTTGCGCAGGGCCCTGGTTTTGTGCATAGGCAGGAGGCCTTATATGCCCCCTAAACAGCACGACCAACACGACAACAAGGCTTGAGGTCACAGGGAATGTTTGTGGTTTATAAACTCCTTAGCCCAAAAGCGGCCACAGATTACTGTTAAGAAGATAATTGTTCGTTTCCTGATACGTGCCAAAACTCAATTCTGAACTTATAACTGCTCGTTTCCTGCCTAGATATATTAGAAATTGACGATTGTGAATTTTTATGCCCTTCGCGGGTCCGTCTCGTATGTTAGGTAGCTGTGTTCACGTCTCTCCGACGGGAGCTTTCGTGCGTTCACTAGGGCTTCTGGGTACTGATGGGGGACTGGATGTTTTGCGTTTTGGAGGTCGCGGTCCCATTGGCTTTCCTGGGGCGGAGATTCGCATCCGGTTTTGCTTAGGTGGTTCAGGTGGGTTTTTTCCTGGTAAGGCAGTGCTTCGCGTTTTTATACGCAACTCCTGGGCGTTTATCGCCTGCTTTGGGCAACCCGTACGTTCACCGGTTCAGGATATCCTGAGTTGGGTGTTTTTTCCGTGTTTCGTTGCGTAGTACCAGTAACAGTTAAGCATACTGATATAAGTGCGCCCTGGCCCGACTAGCTGGACACTGGGTGCAAGCTATATGGCCCACAGTGTTGTGCTGATGCACCCGGCCCGTTGGGGGTCCGCTGTAACAAATCGCATACTGGATGGCGCTGGGGTGCCGTTACAATGGGACCGGCGGGTGACCTTCGGAAGCCCAGTTGCAATGGTCTGTAGTTAAGTTTGAGGTTGTTCGGGCTGGCAGGGTCACCTCATCACCATAGTCAACGCAACCACGAAATCTGGAATCTCCCATATCTACCTCTGTCATGCCGACACCGCAAACAGCCCAGAAGGACTTCCCTCCATTGCTTATCCAGTGCGGAATCGTGCAGGAACGTCGAATCGTTACTGCGTCACTCTCATCATGCAAGAACGGCGTTACATTGGGCCCCCCCGTCAGCAATGGGTGTCCTCGGCCATTTGTACGAGCAGATCAGCCTTCCCACCTCACTCGACTTTGCGCTGGTTTATCCATACAGTAATCACAGCGGCACCTATCACGCTACTCATGAGGTATTTTTTGCCCCTGACCGGCACTAGCAAAATTGGAAGTATGGTATGTGCGCCTGCGGCATGTTGGCAAAGCGTAGTAATCCATTCCAAACATGCAGAAAAGTTCTTTTCTCCACAAGTCGAGGAACTGAAACAAGGGAATAAAAGAAATCAAGCATAGCATCATCCAAAGAATAAAAATGGACGAATGGACCCCGCATTCATAACCACAACATTGCGACCTCAACATTCGAGGCACAAACACATCAATATCATTAATGTCGAGCACAGCAGGAAAATAATGAAACAAATCGACGTTGCGGTTCAGCGAGGACCTTTATGCAGTGAGGCAGCGTTATGCAAGCAGTGCAAACGTATGGCCAGAAAAGTTACTGCTGTCCAGTGCAGCCTCTCGCCTGCCAGATCAGTGATTGTCCGCATGTGAAAACTCGTACTTGTGCATCATCTGCTCGAGCTTGGTCGTCACCAGCACCACCCCCGCCGCCACAGCCGCCACCACCAGCAGCCCCAGCCCCTCCCACGAGCCCACCAGCCAGCCAGCCGCGTGAAGCACCACGGAGAGAACACCGTTACCGGCTGAGGACGAAGAGGAAGCAGCAATGGCGGGGGCCGCCGCCGCTGCAGCCGCGGCTGCACTGGCCGCTGCGCTGGCCGCAGCTTTAGCCACCACACCCCCGAACGCCAGGGCCGCCGCCGCCAGCCCCACCGCCAGCGCCACTGCACGCGCCAGCTGCAGCCGCTTCAGCGCGTTCAGGCAGATGGTGCAGTGGCGGGTGTGGGTGTTCCACACATCAAACAGTTCGGAACGCGCCATGTCGGGGGAGGAGAGAAGCGGCGGGGTGCCTGCAGCAGGTTCGCGCCACACACAAGAAAGCAGCACAGGGGCACCACAGGGGCAGTTAGCAACACTACACACACGCACACACCTGACGGGAACGACCTGCACACACGACACAAACGCCCGGCGGAGCAGGGCCGCGATGGTCGACAGCCCTCTGTCACACACCGCCAATTTGGGCACGAGGCGACAGACTGCGTCGGAACCGTGGCGATGTAGCCACATACATACATACGTACATATGACGTGTGGAACAGGGGGGCATATCTTCACCCGTGGCAGCTACTCTGCGAAACCCTGCCTTCCCCGGTATTTCGGGGCACCCTCATCTAGTCACCCTAGCCGACTTCTCAGTGGATCGCTCAGGTTCCACACCCACCATCGGCATCCAACGGAATCTGCCGGATCGACAGCGGCCCAACTCCATTCCTGGTCGGCTCGAGAGTCAACTTTATCCCAGGTCACCACCGTCCATCGACTAGGGGCACTCTTACCTTCCACCATTGGAAGGATTTTCAACTTTGACAGGTCTCAATCCCGGGATCTCCAGGGGCATGTACGTACGTACATATATGTGTGTGTGGCAGTACTTACGGCAGCCCACGCAGGCGGCCCATGTCGTCCCGTTCGCTTGCTGGGTGGGAACGCCGCTAGCGGGCGAACTAGAGGGACAGTGGAGACCTCCCAAGTCGCCACTCGGAGTCCAAACCCTCGCGGCCCGATCTGAAAACCCCCGCCAGCCCTCCCCTCCTCCCGCCCCCCTGCTCACCGGGAGCTCTCCTCCCCTCCTCCCGCCCCCCTGCTCACCGGGTGCATACGTCACGTCCCCACCAGCGAACTTGGTCAGCCAGGTGCGCCAGGCCGCAATAGCCCTGGGGTACGTAGAGGCGGGGATGGGAGGGAGGGAAGGGGGGGAGGGGGAAATAGGTAAAATCAGTACATTACAGGGCAACGCAAGGCGGTAGGGGGACGAGCGGGGCAGCGCGAGGAAGCGCGGTGAAGGTAAAGGGGATGTAAGGGCTCCATGGGAGCTAGGGACCTCTCCCGCGTATCGCTACAATACTCGCAAGCGGGCAGATATACACGTCCGGAAAGAATGAAACCTTCAACACCGCAACGTTGCATCAGCTTTCCTTCCTGCTAGACCTGGGTAATAGGGTAGGTAAGTCCTTGGTAGACAGTCGACCTGTACCGATAGCAGCATTGCACGCCGCTGTGCGGCCTTCTCGTCATTGCACCATGTCATCACTCGCTCTCTAGTGTTGGCCTCAGGTGTGGGTGTGTGGGTCCCGGTGCGGGCGCACGTGTGAGGAGGGCGGGTGGGGTTGCTGCCTGCTCTCAGTCGACCTACGTACTACCGCACCACCCACTTGTCTGCAGTTCCTGGTGTGAAGTATTGGGGCGGCGGCAGGGACAGGTCCGTGCCTTCCACATCACTGGCCGCGGCCGCCTCTTCCCCCTCCCGCTGCTGCCGCTGCTGTTGCTTGAGCTTCCTCTCCAGCTGCTGCCGCATCACGGCTCTCTCCTGGTAGTGCAGGAACAAAAGGTCCTGGAGGAGAAAGGATTCAGGGATGAAATGAGAAGGGGGGGACCCGGGGGGTTCAGAGGATGACGGAGCAGCACGTGGGCTGGGGCGGTGTGGTGATGTGTCACGACAGCTCAGGGGATAGCCGCGGGAGGCCAGGGGGTCCATCTGGGTACCGGGTGGGGCTGCTGGGGCTGCTGGTTCCCCACCGGGGTAGCTGTTGGGGAGCAGTCAGCCAGACACGGGAAGGTCCAACCAGCCAGCCAGCTCTCCCTCTCAGCCCGGTCGGCCCTGCCCCCTCCCCCATCTTAGGTTGGACGTCGCGAGCTGTTCTCCGAGGTCCCCAATCTCACCGCAGCAGCCACCGGGATTCCGAGCCCCGACCCTTAAATACCGCACAGCACGTCCACATCACCACGAAACCCCCAAAAGTTGAAACAGGCTTCTCTCTCCCCCAGCCCGTCTCTCCCCGGGGTCCCCCCCGTTCCCTCTCCCCCAGCCCCTACTCATCGTCACCTCACCTGGTGCAGGAAGAGAGGGCCCAGCAGGTGGGCGAGCCAGACGGGCAGCATCTTGGACCCCACGAAGCCCACCACACTCCTCCCGCCCCCCTNGTTGTCGGGGGAGGAGACCATGATCTGTCGGTTGATCAGCCGCGGCGGAGATACCCCCGGGGAGGAGGACACGAGGGCAATGAAGGAAGGGCCTTCAGCGTGGGCCAGTTGTTAGCTGCGGCCATCAGGTCCATGAGAGGAGACAACGCATGGAGAGGGGTTACCGGAGGGGCCGGGCCGATCTGTGCGCTGTGTGCTGTGCTCTTCTGTACTCGTCAAAGCACAGCACAGCACCACACAGCACATCACGGAAGTGAAACGGGGTGCTGGCTACGGCGCCTAGTCAACCTACCTACCTACAGACGGGACGAGCCACCGGGCCCGGTCGCATGCACCTGGTAGCGCTAGCACTTCACACGACGCGGCAACGGCTGTGGAGCGGTGCACGTGGTGCTTCCGCCCCACCTCCACCCACCGCACTTGCAGCAGTCCAAAACCCCCCCCCGGGACTCACGATGGGCTGCCCAGCCGCGGCGGGAAGGCCGACCCCTTGCAACCCACCATATCACCCTACAGCAGCCCAACAAAACCAAACGGATACACCTCTTCCCCTGCAAGCCCTTTTTTCCATGAGCCCAACGCCATGTAGCTCTTCCCCCTCCCTCCCTCCCTCCCTCCCCCCCCCACCTGCTGCCCCACCAGCCGTGTCCATCCGGGCCTTATGGGGGTACTGAACAGCGCAAGAATAGTACGGCTGCCGTCCCGGTTCTCCGACTGGATCCTGTTTGGCGGGAGGACCAGTCCACCACAATAAGAACACCACCACCACCACAACCACCCGGGCGGGGATTAAGAAGGCGGAGGGGTGACAGCAGCAGCTGCTGCGACCAGCAAACCTCCACACATACATACACTGCTGTACACTGGGAACTGACCCCGCCGCCGCACCGAAACACAACTGTCCCGCTCCCCCGCCACCCACCTGACCAGGCCGGGGGGGGTGAAGTCGGTGTATGCCTCCCGAACGGTCTCAGACTTCGAATTGGGCAAATGTACCTGGAGGCGGCGCAGGCGCCCCAGGGGGACCACGGATAGTGGCTGTGAGCAAACTTGGACGGCACCCGGTCAGTCAGAGCGGGAATAGCCCGGGTCGTGGATGGGGAGGGGAGATTGGCGGGAAGGTCCGCTTGCGGCGGGAGGGGGGGGATATGTAATGAAGGCCGTACCCAACAAGTCAGCAGCTAGCAGCACCCGAAAGGAAGATCCAGGCTTTGGAACCCGATCTGCTTTGGAGTCCCACTTAATAATGGAACCTCGCATGGTCTCGTAGTCCTGAAGCATCCATCTCCATCTAATCCCACGCAAGGTGTCAATATACCCAAATGGTACAGCACCACGGCATCCACCCGCACGTCGGCCGGGGAGGAGGTTCACATCATGCAGGCGAACCGGTCAGACAGGGCCCCGCAGGGTCATCAGGTCAGGGAGTAGGTCCTAGCAGGCTGGCCTCTATTCACCCCGGCACCAAGTCAAGTCAAGCCAAGCCAAGTCAGAGGGGTGCAAACAGAATCGACACGCCCCCCACCAAAAAGTCCCCCCCCACCACCAGCAGCAGGGCCGCTCCGGACACAACAACGAATACAGCCGAGTACAGCCAAGACTACACCGCCTCGCAAAACCAACCAGCAACAAATACCAGGTATTGGATTAGAGGTCAAAGCGCCGCAGCAAACTCGTTGCTATGCACTACTGCCGCCACCTCCCGGCACAGAGAAGCCATTGTCCAAAGCCGTATATTGTACGGCGGTGAGTACATTCATTCCGCCGTCGTACCTTGAAGCCCTCCTCCAGGGAAGGCGGCAGGGTGACCTCCAGCTGGAAGGGCCGGGGGTCCTTGTAGCGGTCGCCTGGGGCCCGGGGCGCATCGTACAGGGTGACGTGTCGGGCAATGTGATACACCAACACAACCCCGGGTTGAAGCTCAGTTCCAAGAAGGGGCCCCCTAGGGCCCCCGTTGAAGCCCCGAGGAGGTGGGGTGACGCACCGCCTGCCCCCCAGAGACGGCAGACCCCCCCACACACACACACTGCCCCTCCCTCTCTTTCCCCCCCCCCTCCCTCCCTCCCTCCAACCTGCAATGTTGTGGTGGCTGACCGGCACGTGAGCTGGGTCGACAACTGGGGGTGCGGGCGGGGGACGTGGTGGCCGCCAAGGGAGCAGGCGGGGAAAGGATAAGGCGGGGAGTGAGGGTGGTGTGTGTGCTGGGAAACGGGCGGGGACGGAAGGTGGGACGGGGGGGTTCGGGATGTGTATTGACGAGGTGCCGGAGTGCCGAGACGACCCGAGGGTGGCGGACGGGGGGAAGCCGCCTCACCCACTCACCCACCCTCCCTCAACTGCACTCGCGGGAACCCCTCTCCGGAAGCAGCACCCCTGCCGTACAGCAGTAGTTCATCAGCTACAGGAAGTACGCTCCGAAACCCCCAACCAGCTCGTGTGTACTTCTCTTCCCCCCCCCAAACACCCCATCATACACACCGTTTTCAATGAAGTACGTGTGGCCGTA